CTCGGTTCACCTACCAAATAGGCTTAAATGAAAGCTGGAAGCTTCCCGAACAAGCATCTGTAACGATATCTTGCGGTAATTTGCGGTTTTCTGAGTTATTCACATTTATGTTCACGCGCGCGCCCTATTATCATACGTGACAACAGCGGTTTCGGAGGTTTTTCAAATATGTCGTCGCTAACGTTTACAAAATTTCTTGTTTTGTAGGTGAGATTTCAATATCCACATCCATATATATATATTACATATTAGATATTTAAACATTGTTAAAAAATTAAAAAAATAAAAATTTATTTGCAATTTCTGATAATAAAAAATGAATTTGCTAATGAAAAAAATATTATTATGATAGTTAAAACATTCAAGTTTAAAATGCAAAAAGATTTAATTAATTTCGATAAATAGTTTCCGAGATAAAAATTCATACGTACTAGTTAACTAACCGTATTAGTTAACTAACAAATCAAAATTCGATTTTTAACACAAAAAACTAATTTGTGTAGACTATTTCGGGTTAAGAGGTAGGAAAAAATCAATTAAAGGCCGACAACTATTTAAATAATGGATACGGAGGAGGTTTAATGTTTTCAAATCAAATTCTAATCGGAGACTCTCTCGCATTTTCTCTTACATGCTATTTTATAAACTTCTCAGGACTCCGAGAAGGGAGGAAACACGGGGTGGGGAAAGTGTGACGTCTCCCGAAATTGGAAATTCCCACTTTCCCCTGCCGCGGTCATCCGGCCCAAAACCGTTGACCGGTGACCCATCCGGCCCTCAACTTACAAATTACCGTAACAGTAATAAACCCAAGGATCGCCTCGACTTTTCAATTACATGTACCGAAAAAAAAGAAATACAACTATGCGAACCCTGGGCTCAATGTGTCTACCAAATGTTAAAACGTTAAAATGTTAAAGTTAGAGTACCTCAGGGAATGGAAATGATACGTTTGTGTCAATTAAGAGGAAATACAAGGTATGTCCTGAAAGTAATGTCAATAAGTCGATTAAAAATCATTTATTGAACTGCTCGTTACAAATCTTCAAAATAGGCTCCTTTTGCGTCAATACATCGGCTCCAAGCGAGTCTTCCAGCTCTCGAATGCATTACATTAAGCCTCCTCCGGAATTTCCTTCAATGCCGCTGTACAAGCTCTTTTGATTTCATCTACTATCTCGAAAATCTTGCGTTTCATGAGTGTTTTGAGTCTTGGAAACAAAAAAAAGTCGGGGGGAGCTACGATGAAACAAAAAAAAGTCAGGGGGAGCTATGACCGGGCTGTACGGGGGCTGGGGAATCGTTGGCACCCCTGCTTTAACCAAGTAGTCGGAGACGATAAAGGCGGTATGGGCCGGAGCGTGGTGCAACCTCCAGTTGTTTGCCGATATGGTTCGTGACGATGTCTAACACTTGAGTTTTTGGAATATTTAGCATATCGGCCATTAAACGAACACTTAATCGTCGGTCTGAGTGCAACAATTCCCTCACTCGTGTCACATTGTCGGCTGTGGTGGTCGTGGATGGCCGTCCGGCACGGTCCTCGTCGTCGACCTCTTCCCGGCCTTTCAAAAAGGCCTTGTGCCACCGAAACACTTGCTGATCTGACAGGGCATCTTCTTTATAAGCTGACTTGATCATAGCAACCGTTTCCGTCGCAGTCTTTCCAAGTTTCACGCAAAACTTGATCGCAACTCTTTGTTCTAACGAGCGCTGCATGACTTGTACAGTAACACATAACAATTCTCACGGATAAGCTCGTTCTCACTCTCCGGATGCTCGGAGCACCTTTAGCAGCAGAGATCTGTTTAACTGACGTCCCATACTACCAATTTTAACCGAAAAAATCGCGGTCCGACGTGAAGTCGCGTCACAATAAAGTCACTGACATTACTTTCAAGACATACCTTGTAGTTAATTGTTTTGAACTGCGGCAACGATAGTGACATTGAAGAAAATTTACCTACATTTCTTTTCATGTTAACATTTTCTTTTGCTTTATTATTTAAAATGAATGTATATTTCTAAAACCAGCATTGACGAACTTTATTTACGCGATTCTCATTCACGTAAAATGAATTTACATGGAACGGATACTTCGCGTAAATTGTGGGACTAATGTACTTGTACATATACAGAGTGCTTAAGCTAACTTCCACGTCTCAAATAAGTTTGGAATTATGCATCTTATGAAATAGTATTAAATACTAGTGGGTCTACAAACCTAGTGCATCATGCGAACTCGGATGTGTATTTAAAATTTAGAGTACCTACTGCAAATATGTAAATAGCACAACAATGAAATGTTTATATCGTAAAGTCGTTTCAAACGATAAAGCATGTCCGAAGTTATCAAAAATAATGCCAAACACATCTGTTGTTGATTTGACAACGTTTGATGTCAATAGAAATGAAGTTCTGTCGTGAGGGATAAAGTATAAAGCATTTAACGATGTTCCAGTCAATTTTATATGTTAAGAATGGTCGAAATGATACAAAGACACCGTTTTTTATCGGTTCGATAACGATCAACATCATCTATACAGCGAAAGGCAACCTCCCGCGACTAACTTCAACAATTCAAGTTAAAAGATTAAGAATTGCAGCGGGATACAGACAAACAAACAGACAAAGGAACAAATGCAAAACCTTCAATATGTTTGTCAAAAAACGTTGAAAAACTTTAAAGGGGAAAGATAATGATGTATCATCTTTTCTTACATTCGAGATTTGAATTTTGAAAGTCATTGTTTATTAAATGGAATTATATATTTTTGTCGTCATGAGTCGTAAATATATTTAATTTTACATAAAACGGTATTAAATTAATAATGGAAAAAGTGCTTATCTCTATTTAGTGAAGCAAAGTTAATCTTTAATGTTTGGATATCTTTCCACACATAAAGGCAGTTATATGTTCTCCTGATATTTATGTTGAATAATTTTTCATCGGTTACATAATTCAATTCAGTTACTTCAGGTATGCAAGTTACGCAAATTGCGTTGTATAAGATTGACGGAAACCATATTATATACGAGGAGTTGACTCCATTCAGGATTTTGTTAGTGAAAACATTGATTTCGAGATTTTTCATATATACGTTGAACAAAATACTATCAGAATGCAATTTCGTTATGCCGATTTTTCATCCGTGTTAGCGTTTATAAACGTCACTTGCACCAGAAATTGATTTCGACGTCTTCAATTGCTTATGTTGACTCGTGAGCAAAATAGTCAATTTTTTATATTGAAAGATACTTTCGAGAATGCTCACTTCACACGCAGACTTCACGGCGAATGAATATTTGAAAATATTGGATAGTGAATAATATGTTAAAGTTCAATGTAACACTTATACTTAATAATACAACTACAAAAAATTTTAGAGTACAAGTTTGTGAATTCTATTGGACGGCACATAGAGTATGATTTTAAAGTTGTTCGTATGCGAGTATGTTTTTATCTGATCTTTCTCGCAAAATTTTCTATCGACGTTAACTTTTGCTTATAGTGGGGGCTTTTTCTAACGACGTTTCTGATTGGGTATTTGAGATTTTCTCTATTTTGGAAAACTCAAGTGTTAGACTCAGGTAGGTTCCCTGGAGCTTCGATGTTTAGGGCGGTTAAGATTGTAAATTTTTTAAACTTTCTCAAGTGTGTAAAACCGGTGACCTTTTTTATGGCATCTATAAGGGTAATTATGCGTATTACTGAACTTTTTGGCTTTATGATTTTAGGAGGTTTCCTCGAAATATGTTTTTCAAATTGCCCTACGTGGATAGTTAATTTTTGTTACCTTGGGAGGTCACGAGTCACTTAAACGAATTACAAATTTATACAATATTTGTTACGCAGTAACAGCTTACATCTCGAAAGCAAAGCCACAAATTGGAAAATGATATCTTTTCGATTTGTTTTCGCACAAGACAATAATAATCTCCAATTTGAATGCTATTTTAGGAATATATTGTATATATTAGGTGTTAATAATATTATTTTCAAAACTGTATAAAAATGTATGGTTTATAAATTTTTGTAACGTAGCATTTGCAAATCTGAAGTACAAGAACAACTTGTTACATATATACATAGCTACATATACACTTCTCAAATTATAAATTTTGAAATCCCTAAATTTGTATATCTCTCAATTTCAAAATTCTCAAATTTTCTAATTCAAATTATAAAATTCACAAATTCTCATATTTTCAAATTTCTAAATATTTCAATTTCCAAAAGTCCAAATTTTTATATTAAAACATTCTCAAACTTTTTTATTAACCTTTGAATCTCGCTTATGTCACATTATTTTTGGTCCATCGTCTATATTTTTTGTCAAGCTGTAGAAGTTTAGTTTATTTTGATCAGTATGTATATTACTTAAGGTTTACATGTACCAGTGCCATTAATGAGTTTATGAACTTCATACCGCAATTATTTACAAATTTCCAAAGTAATAAATTTTATTTTTTACCGAGATCAATCTTGCATTGCCAAGCATAGTGGACATTTTGAGATGGAATATCAGTTGCTTCTTTTATAAACAAAGCGAACGTAAATATTGCCATTCTGTTTTTGTCTTACACTGCCATATCCGTAAATTTGTTACTGTTTCTTTCATTTCGCATTATTAGCATAATTTTCAGCGCAATTTTAAAGGACTTATGCTTATAAAATATTTTTTATTATTTAATCTAAAATAGACTGAAAACGTTGGGTTGTTAAATTCTGAGACACCATATATGCGTATATGCGTATATGCATATATGCGTACATATATACGTATAACAACTTTCTCCGTAAAAACAACAGTCATTGCGAAATTTGAAAAAATATGACTTTTAAATAACCTTCATTTTCATGGCGTAATTTCCCATTTTAAGTACAACTCCTCCCAAACCATTTTTGTATTCTTCTATAAATAACAAAATAATAAAGAGTCGAATGGGACTCTCTATAACTTAATACATTAATAAGTAAAATTTTTCTAATCCATTTTTTCCAGAAAATGATAACGATTTTGGTGTCGAGTGAAATTAATTTAATAATAAGTACATTTTAATCAATCAAGTTCATATACATATAACGAAAACTTATTTCTAGAACCTATTATGAATTAGTTTTTTCGGGATTCAAATCAACGTATTCTTGTATTTGTTGTAATTTAATCAGCACATGTATACAGTAATTAAAATGTAACATCAAATTGTTTCATTTATATTCTGCGAATATAAACTTATTATAATACCAAATATCCGATTCTCCGTTAAAAGTTATTATTCAGTCATAAGGAAAGTTGTTTTCTTGAAAAATTTGAATTCCAGGTATGTATAGTTATAATATACAATCTTCTTTTGCCCCTGGAGTTACGTTTAAAATAATCCTCTGAAATTTTCTTCACTTACGAAATCGTGTGTTTGCCTATTATGACACTGCACTAATGCATACGCATTTCGCTGTCTTCGTCAGCTTAAAATAAAATAATCAGCGTCAAAGGTCGTACATATTTCATAATTGACGCATTTGATGATCAAATAAAAGAAAATTAAACGATTGATCGTGGAAATAACGTCGAATATGTTGTTTTCGGTGGGCACACCGAGCAACAGATCACGTAGGAGGGGTGCATCGATCAGAAAAGCTTGCTTCGAGGTTCCGTAATTAAAAATACTGTCGTTCGTTTCGATCGTGTTTTTCGTTTCAGGTACTTGAATCCTGTGTATCCGACGGGGACTTTTCACTTCCTGTATCCAACCGCCGATCGTTTCGATGATCGAGTACACTTTACCCATGGTTTCTTTTTCGTGTTCAATATGCGATAATTCGTCGAAAAGTTATCATCAGGACAACCAACGGATAACTGATCTCGTTGGCTTATTGCGGCGTGTTGGTTCCTACACACGATTGCCAACTTTGATGTACCGTCTGTTACCTAACCGTTTTAAAATCGTCATCAGTTAAAAGTACTCGTTCTGTTGCGAAACTACTGTGCACATATGTATACCGGTGTGTGTATGTAGCGTATTCAATGAACTTTTAACAGTTAACGAGATATTTTTACTTTGATGTAATAATAATATAAAGTTTGTATATATTTCTAACTTTATATAAATGCAATTATTGAAGTATTCTATTATGTCATAAAACATTCCACAATTGTAAAGAGATATTTGAGGAGACATAGCAATTTATGGACACAGAAAATATCATTTTAATCAGTAATTTATATTGGAATTACTCATATGCAGGATGCTTCTTTCACTATAATATTTACTATTTAGCTCATCAATGAAAATAGATAAAAAGTCAACTAATTTTGTTTTAAATTTTGAATGTGCACATTCAATAATATAACGGGCGAGCCAGGATATCTAATCGTAAGAAGTGTATTTATATATATTAGTATCCTAAAGTTTAACTGTTAACGAAGTTGTAGATAAATTTGTACACTTTCTTAAAGTATAATAATTAATGAGTGATTCCAGATAAACAGAAACGTTTGGCAGGGGTAATATCCGCAATAGATAATTCTGACTTGACCCACTTTAGGAAAAAATGGTCATAAACCGAAATAGTTGGTGCTTAATTGTATTTTAAGGTTTTCTGACATCTCCCATACCAAGGAGTCGTACAAGAGAGGAAAATTTAATAGTCTCGCGACGAAATGTAGTATAATCTACATCGTTCAGCTAGAAAGGTTGTAAAACAGCTCGAGCGA